GAGCCCACAGAACATCCGTGGCCACTGTGGAGCCCACAGAACATCCGTATCATGCAAATGTCCACTCTGTGTCCTGAAACTTTTCCAAAAACCAGCTAATCAGGTCAACCAGGGAGTCGCAGAGGCTCCCTGAGTTAACAACAATGAAGACGTCATAGACGGAGTAAGCTCATTTTTGTTACTTGAGGTTTAAGCGGACAAAAGATCAAACACACTGTAGACACCTACCAGGCAGCCGCAGGAATCCTGCACTCGTGGCTGAGACAGGGGATCCACACGCCAGCATGAAGAATTCTTCCTAACAAACAAAGGAGAGACTCAGGATGATCTTTCAGATTACAGAGCTCGTTTATTTCCATAAACGAGAGCCGCATCAGCCCAGAGCCGCTCACAAGATAATCATCTCCTGCTGCAGAAAGCAGAGCTCTTACATTTGTTTTCACAGCTTGAGCTGCTAATCTGATGACAATGTTTTATTACAGTGACAATATTTCCACTCTATTAAATGATGCTCACTTGGTCGCTTGTACGGAATGTGCTGCCAAGGCTCCCCGGGACGTGCACCAGGGGCCCCGGGGGCTGTCTACCTCCACAAGCACCTGCTCTCACAGCCAGCTACTCCACGCACCACGCCCGCAATCACTAAGCACAAGGAGCTGCTAATTCCGCTTCGTGGTGTGACACAGCGATTTAATCAGCATTTAGAGAAAAACAGTGATTAATATTCCAGTATGAAGAAAGGCTGCCAGACAGAAACAGTCAGGAAAGCACCTTGTACAGTGGCTCAAAAACCTTTCATCCCAAAGTTCCCCGGTAGCTCCCATCCTCGGAAATTCCGTTCTTTCTACTAATGCTCATAAATCAAAAGTTGCTTTAGTAACAATTATTCCTACCTCCTCAAAACTTGGCTAAGAAGGGAGGAGACTAACATTTCCCAAGCAATGGACACACCCTGCCCAGTATTTCTGCCAAAACGTCCTGCTGGCCCCACTTTGCAGAAGAGTAAGGGGAGGCTCTGAGAGATCAGGCAGCTTGTCCAAGATCACACTGAGTAGGATGGGTCTTTGGCGCCCTGAGCCCACGCTCGTGGCTCTGGGGTATGCTGCTCCCACGTGAGAACACCAAAATGCAAAGTGTCCAGTCCAAAGACAAGAAATTTGCTGTGTCTATTTAAGCAGGTCAGCAAGAACCTGGCTTCTTCCGGTTTGGGATTCCAGTTGAAACAGGTCTCTTGAATGCAGGTCAGCCTGCGATTCCTCAGTCTACTGTGCTTTTTTTTTTTTTTTTAAGATTTTATATATTTATTAGAGACTGTGTGATAGAGAGCACAAGGCGGGGGGAGGGGCAGAGGGAGAAGCAGGCTCCCCGCTGAGCAGGGAGCCCGATGCGGGGCTCAATCCCAGGGCCCCAGGATCCCGACCTGAGCAGAAGGCAGATGCTTAATGACTGAGCCACCCAGGCATTTTGAATCTCGGAAAGAGGGAGCTGCTCTAAGGGCCTGACCTTGTGAGGAGAGGGCTGTGAGACACAAACTCGCCTAAAGGAACAACAACTCTTCACGCAGGCTGTGAGGGCACCCCAGCCGGTCTGAAGGGTGAACCTGCTTCAAGCTGATGCACGCCTTGCTTGCGGACCCAAGTCCCTTGGTCTGTAGCAGAACTCACTCACCTGCCTTGAGATCTGCAGACCACTGGCCTTGAGACTGAAGGACCAGACTTTCCCAGAAGGCAAGCCCTGACTGCATTCGAGAACATCTGCCGGATTCCAGCAAGTCTGTTCAGGGTCCTGTGGACAAATCACTGACGGCCTGGGCACCTGCTTCTCTGGCACCAAGCCCCCTCCCTTTTCCAGCGCCTTCCCCTCTAAAATCCTTCCACTTCGCCTGGAAGACGGCCTTTGGGATGACAGCCCACCATATCTTCCCAGGTAGCCGGCTTCCTGAAGAAAGCAGACCTTCCTTTCCCACCATCACTTGTCCCTCAAGTATCGGTTTCCCAGCGGCAAGCCATTGAACCTGAGTTCAGAACCGGTACTCGGTCCAGTAACAGGGCCACCCTGTCCCCTGAGCTGAGCACTGCTCTTTCTAGAAAACCCAGAGTCAGGGATGCAGCAAGAGCAGAGCCGGGTTTAGTAACTTGCCCACGACACACAGCAAAGACACGGTAGAGCTGAGATGTGGGCTCAGGCAGCCGGTCCCTGAATCCAGGTTCTCTGCCCCTTCACCACCATGGCTGACCTGCACACTATGCTTTCAGTGCTTGACCTCATCATCCGTCTGGACAGTCCCCTCCGAGGGAATGTGTCACCAGCCCTTCCTAGCTGCGAGGACCCAACCTCAGGAACGCTGGGAGTCAGAGTCCACCAAGATGATTTGATTCCTCATACTGCCACAGATTGTCGAATCATGGAAATGACCTTACACCTCTCCTCACCTGGCTTTTACAGTTCAGTGGAAATATAAAATCTGCTTCCTTCCACTCTTGTTCTCTATAAAGCATTAACGAGAATGGGTGGGGAAAGGGACCATCTTATCTTGGAGATGGAGGGGAAAGTGTCACCAGATCACGAACCTTGTACAATGAAACTAAATATTTAAAGCTACCAGTCGGGCTTCCAAAAATTGGCAACTTTAAGCACATTTTTAAAATTTAAATTACACATCATGTATTATGATGAGAAAACTTGTATTTTAGGTCAGGCTTATGCTACAATTGATTTTTTTTTTTTTTTTGGAGCTCTTTATTGCCTTCCATACAAAAAGAGGTAACAGTCAGGAATTCATCACGTCTGAGGCTCAGAGGATCGCAACGGAAAAATAACCCATAAGCAGAATCCCACTTAGTATCTTAAAATATTTCCTCTAATTTAATAATTAAGTGATTGGTCAAGTCTGCCAGGAAAGGAAAATGCAGATATCCCTGAATTCAAGACTAGTTTTCACTTACAGAAGGAAACTTACTTGTCCTAAGGAAAACCTTTTGCTTCCATCTGGGACCTTAGCAAAGCAAACCTTATTTTTGTCACATGGGCAGAAATTATTAATATAAGTATTCATAGTGATGGGTCCAGGGCAATCTGCCCCAAAATATGCTACTGTGGCATATTGATTATTTTCAATTAAATTTACAGAGGAAAGAGCTGATAGAGGCCAGGCACTCTGACCCTTTGTCTTGAAAGTAGGAGAAAAGTCTCCCTGCGGAAGGTAGCTTCTCTTCTTATCTGGAGAATACTGTATAAACAAACCATGCTACTTCTTTACTAACTGCCTACCTAAGCCCAAACTTCTTTGTTTTGTAGATTCTTTACAAATGTATCGTTTCTTGGGCGCCTGGGTGGCTCAGTTGGTTAAGCAACTGCCTTCGGCTCAGGTCATGATCCTGGAGTCCCTGGATCGAGTCCCGCATCGGGCTCCCTGCTCGGCAGGGAGTCTGCTTCTCCCTCTGACCCTCCCCCCCTCATGTGCTCTCTCTCTCTCATTCTCTCTCTCAAATAAATAAATAAAATCTTAAAAAAAAAAATGTATCGTTTCTTTGTCTAAAAGGTGTCAGAGCTGCCTGCTTTGGTCACTTCTCGAGCTCCCATACATACTAATTACATTTGTTTTTCTCCTGTTCATCTGTTTTATGTCGGTTTAATTATTAGACCAGCCAAAGAACCTAGAAGGGAAGAAAGGAAAAGCCTTCAGCCCCTAAAATAGCATTCTTGCATGAGGCAGCCCCCCACCCCCACCTTTTGTCATGGTGACCAAGACAAATGGGCAGGAAAGGTTACAAAATAGGAATGGTTAAGAATAGCCCGGTGATGGGTATTAAGGAGGGTACGTACTGCATGGAGCACTGGGTGTTATACGAAAACAATGGATCGTGGATCACCACATCAAAAACTAATGATGTATTGTATGGTGACTAACATAACATAATAAAATTTAATAAATAAATAAATAAAAGAATAGACCCGGTGGATTTCACAAAGAAAAAGGAGAAAACCAAAACAACAGATTCAGGAAGGAAAAGAAAGGCTGAAGAGTAAACCGAAGAGGGTGAGCTAGCTGCAGGGGTGCTGAGGGAGGGGGCACTGAGCCTGGGGAGGGGTGGGGATGGGGAGCCATCCTGAGTGCCTGGAAAGGAACTGAAATTCTAAATATGTTCTGCCGTCCTTAGCACTGAATCTGCTTTTTTCCCCTCCAGAGAGATTTGATAAAGAAATGTCCTTTGGGGGCACCTGAGTGTCTCAGTCGACTATGCATCTTGCCTTCGGCTCAGGTCATGATCCCAGGGTCCTGGTATCCAGTCTTGCATTGGGCTCCCTGCTCAGGGGGAAGCCTGCTTCTCCCTCTCCCACTCCCCCTGCTTGTGTTCCCTCTCTCTCTGTCAAATAAATAAATAAAATCTTTAAAAAAAAATGTCCTTTTATCTGCCAGCCACTGACAGGTGGGGCCAGCCCCGCTCCCCAAGGGCCCTGGGCTACATGTCGGTTTCTCCAAGCCGGTTTTATATCCTGCCCGGTTCAGTAGAGGGGCGGGATACAAAGGTATCGCCATAGAAGCTCCTGCCTAGTAAACGAAATTACTTTGTTTTTCAGCACCTGACTACAGTGAGGCAACATAATTAATTTCTTATAATTCTTCCTTACTGAGCCCCCTAACAGTTATTTGCTCCCGAGCTAATTGCCAACATGACAAATGCACAGGATGTGTCTTCGCAGATTAGAAAAACCTATTGCCAATATTGCCTTATTGTCTGGATTTTTATATTTATGACTCCAAAACGTACACTTTGGTACTTAATACATCATTGTGGTTTTATCACTCTTCCCACGTGCTCTTCCCAGAACTATAAATTCCCGAAGCAGGGCCAGATCGGGCATCAATCCTGGTTCCTACCACAGCACTGTATTTCTAGTAGATCCTCAATAAATAACAGTCAAGCAAACTTAGAAAATTGTTTATGAAGAAAGACAGGCTTTCACGAGTTTCATTAAAAAGTCATCTCGATGTTATCATTTTCAAATCTTAGAAGAAAAAAATCTTCAAAGTAATTCACCTCCAAACGGATGAAACATTTTAAGTTTCCTTAGTTAAAAAAAAATAGTCTTTTCATATGTACAAGTGTTCCCTAAACGTTAGTAAGTTAATACACATTTCAGGGTGCCTGGGTGGCTCAGTCGTTAAGCGGCTGCCTTCGGCTCAGGTCATGATCCCGGGGTCCTGGGATCGAGCCCCGCATCGGGCTCCCTGCTCAGGGGGAAGCCTGCTTCTCCCTCTCCCACTCCCCCTGCTTGTGTTCCCTCTCTCTCTGTCAAATAAATAAATAAAATCTTAAAAAAAAAACAATACACATTTCATATTTACTTGCTACTTTATGTTTTTTACCTTTGGGTTTTATTAAACAAATTGAATGCTATTTCTTTTTTTCTTTTTTTTTCTTTTTTTGCTATAATATAAAGCCTGTGTTTGTGCTTACCAAGGAACAGAAGGGGCAACTAGGTAACCTACTCCTTAGGCTAATGTTACATCGTGTCATTCAAACTTGCAAGGGGGAGGGGCGCCAGGGTGGCTCGCTGGGTTGATCCAACCACTCTTGATTTCCGCTCAGGTTAGGATCTCAGGGTCATGGGATGGAGCCCCGAATGGGCTCTGCGCTCACCACAGTCCCTCTCCCTCTGCTCCTCCTCCCCCATCTCTAAAATAAATAATTAAAATCTTCAAAAAAATAAAATAAAATAAACTTGCAGCGGGAAAGACCAGTCAGGCAGGGAGATGGTTCTCGGGGTCTGCGGGGTTGTGGTTGGAGGGCGCCCTCTGGCAAAGGCAACGGATACTTACAGGTCTGGGTTTAAATCAGCACAGAGCGGATCCTGATCTCCAAACTTCCGCAAAAGCACGTGGGCGAGCTCCTGGCCCACGCTCCCGCTGCCGCTGCTGCTTATCGATAGGAAGACAAAAGAAATAAGGCGGCCGTGTTAGGTCCTCGCCGGCAGAGATCACAGGACAGCACGCCCTACCTGAGCCGATCCAGGCAAATGATCCTTAGATCCGTGATCGCAGATAACGCTGTTGAGTTAGCATAGTAAAGCCAAACCAGCAATAAGATTAAGGATTTTCTCAAAAGCACAGGATTGCCCTCACAGACATGCATTGTTACATACTGATGTTCACAGTACATTATTGTTCTCATCTTTTCATTTCTTCTTATTATGATATTGCCATTTTGGCATCTTGGCATAGTTCTATTGAATTGTAAAGGCTGCATAATATTTCATCACATTAATATATTAAAATCTATTTTAAAAATTCTCTTAATGTTGGAACTCTGGTTTGGTTCGAATATTCTATTAGCTAGCTCTGCAATAGAACTTTGTATTTTTCTGCTTTTTTTGTTTCTATGTGTGAGCTATACGGAACAACCCCTTTCTTGGTAAGACGTCCTCAGCACAGAATCCTGTGCGTGCTTTAGGTATATATCGAATTATAATATTTATTTTAGTGGCACAAACGTCAGAAGTCAGGTAACAGTTCAGGCAGCACTGCTGAGAAACCAAGGCCACCAATATTTAATTTCCTTACTGAAGACACCACCAGCGATAAGACACACTGTTCCTCTAACAGGGGGGAGGTGTGGAAACAAACTACTACATCTTATACATGGGTTGTAAAAGACACCTTGACTTGAGAAAATGGAGAGGAAAAGATCATTTAAACCTGTCTAAATCGGACTGAGTGGGAGTGGCCTCATTTGAAGTAATTAAAACTCTGAATTACTGTATTTCCAAAAGAAAATAGGTTTATTACTTTCTAGAACTTACACCGAGTCATTTACAAAATGCTTTTGAATAGACATGGTTGGGAACACTTATCCCCAAGAAAAACAAAAATGATGTATTATTAGCATGATAAATTACTTATATGTAAACGGTGGCTTCAAATCTCTTTGGAAAGAAGCAGCACGTAAATTAACAAATGCACGCAAAGATTTATTTTAAAGAACTTAACACTGTAGCTTCCGTTAAGAAATGCAAGACCCTCAATGGAATGTTCAATCACGGCTTCTTCTGATTTGCTTATGGGCAGTGAGACGCTGATTCCCAAAGACCGTTCTGAATGCTACCGGCAATCAATATAGGGGGGTCGAGGTGGTCAGGCTTCCTGCACCCTCACGTCCCGTAAGCACCAATAAGAGCCCGAAATGAGAAGGAACTTCAGTATTTTCCACTGCGCAGCCCTCTACCCAGATACGATCTGACAAAGATTTCCAATTTTCCTAATCCCCTCAGTGAGCCTCTAACGTACCCATCTGATGTTTTCTCTCCTCCACATTTACCAACGGCTCCTCGTTACCTTCCTTGTGACCTATGCGCCTTGAAAATGGAAGCTAAGAACCCCCACACTCCTCAGGCCTTGCCATCACTGGGCAAATGCTGCCCAACACTCTCTCCCAGAAGGCTGCACCGCACCCC